CTCCCAAAAAAAAACACAAATTCCGCTGTTCCCACGGGCTCCTTCCTGCCCCGGAAAGCAATTGAGGAGCTTCCCGGGGCCATTTTCCAGCCCACGCCGAGGGGGAGCCGTGGTCTGACGAGACCCGCCCGGCTCGCGGGCTCCGCGGGGGGAAAGGTCCGCCTCCTCGACCCGCGGAGACAAAAGGCCCGGCCGGCGCGCGAGGGAGGCGCGGGGAGCCGCCGCCGCCCGCGTTTGTTGGCCCGAGGGAAGCCGGCGGGCTGGTTGGTGGTGTCGGAACGGGGGAGGGAGGGCGGCTCGGGGGCAGGGGCTCGCCTGTGGGTCCGGAGCGGCCCCCGGGGCCAGGCGTGTTTGAGGGGCGCGGCCGGCTCCTGCCCGTAACCCGCGGGGGTGTCCTCAGGCGGCCTCGCTCCCGGCTTGCAAGGCCGCGCGCGGGAGAAGGAAGTGGAGAGAGAGACAGGCAGGCAGGCAGACGGAAGACGCTCCGAGCTGTGATCTGACAGACGGAAGACGCTCCGAGCTGTGATCTGAGAGAGGCCAGAACCCCACGACTTGAGGACGGGGCTCAGGGCCGGAGCAGGTAGATGGAGGCGGTGGGTGCCGGGGCGCGCAGTGCCCCCGGGGGAGATGGGGTGGCTGGGTCGGCCCGTCGTGGCGTCTCCTCCGTTTCCGTCTGCTGCTCCCCACCGTGTCCTAGTTGCATTCCCGTTGCGGGGGGTGGGCTCAGGCGTGGGGCCGGTGGGGAGGCCGCGGGGTAACTGGGGTGACCTTCGGCTCCCCGCCCTTCTAAGTGGGGAGTTAGCGCGCCCTGCGCGGAGCTTCGGGGCCCTGCCGACCTCGGGGCAGAGCGTTTTGGCGCCGCCACGCCGCCCCGTCCCGGTGCTCACGTGGGGCTGCAGACGGCAGTGATCGCAGTCAGGCATCTCCAAGCCGCTGCCGTGGGGGATGTAATGTTAGGTGTTTTTTTGTTGTTGTTTTTTTGTCCTCATTTGTATGATATACTAGAAGAGGACTTAAAAGAACAGGATGTGCCCATTTTAACAGAGAAGTACAGTGCAAACTCCCAATTAGCTACCAGTCAGACCAAGAAATTAGAACGTGGCCCACAATCGACAGGCCCGCTTGGATCACAGCCCCCTCCTCAGCCATCCCTTTTTAGTGAAATCTTCAGCTGCCTGTTGGGGGTTAAAAACAAAACATAACTGGTGGCCAGATACTCTGACCAGTGTTTGTGGGCTGCAGGTAGAGACGTTTTCGTAAAACAAAGTTTGCTGCCTCCCTTAGGTACCGACGCGGGGCTAGCATTTGGTTTCGCGCTGAGCTGGGAACATGGGTTGTTCCGTATCAGCTTTGCCAGGTTTATGTTTTACATAACCGCTCTTGTAGGAAAGTCCTCTTGCAAACATGGGACTTAGATGTCAAAGATTTGGTGTCATTTCTCAAGCAGAAACCTCAACAGAGTGTAGGTTGAAATATTCGATTTTTGTATGCTCTTCGGTGTGTTTACTTTGTGAAAACCACCGGGAAGTGATTTGCATTTGCTTTTTATTTGCCGCGTTGAGAGCACAGCTTGTGGTGAATATTGAAAATGCCTTAAGGCAGTGGTTCTCAACCTGCCTCCAGGTTGGTTTCTCTTGAACAAAACGGTTCATAGCCTTTGGGCAGTTGATTTGATAATGCTGATGATTGGGGTTCTGAGTTGAGGCTGTAGGGAGGAAGGAAAGGAGGCGAAGTGTAGCAGTAAAAAGAGGAGCTGACTGAAAAGAGATGGACTCACCAAAATGCCCTCGGGCCAGGTGGACTTTGAATGGAGTAGGGGTAGAAACCCCTCCAGGAAGAGCTGCAATGGCAACAACTGTTTGCTTTCATATGAGGGACTGTCTTCTGAATGGAATAGAAAGGACCTTTTGTTTAGCTCTAGTGGCAGTACTGTCTTGTAACATAGAATAAGATAGGCATTTCTTGTGGAGAGCAAAGAATTGGGCAGAATTTTAAAAAATAACTAGTACTTTAGCCCTAGCTGGCTTGGCTCAGTGGATAGAGCCTTCGGACTGAAGGGTCCCAGGTTCCATTCCAGTTAAGGACACATGCCCAGATTGGGGGCTCAATGCCCAGGTTGGGGCATGCAAGAGGCAGCCGATCAATGATTCTCATCACTGATGTTCCCCCCTCTCTTTCCCTCTCCCTTCCTCTCTGAAATCAATAAAAGAATATTTAAATTTTTAAAAAGATAATAATTACTTTAGCCCTGGGTGATGTTGTATGATTGTTAGAGCGTCGGCCTGCGCACTTAAGGGTCTCGAGTTCAATTCTGGTCAAGGGCACACACCTGGGTTGCAGTTTCATTCCCTGGCCCCAATTGTGCAGGAGGCAACAATCTCACGTGTAGCGCGCGCTCTCTCTCTCCTCAGGTGAAGATTTAAAATAACTACTTTAAAAAACATACATATGTTTAATTCCGTAGTACTGTGAAAACTTCTTAATCATTTCATTTTGTTTTCACTGTTTGTAGATCTTACTGGACCAGAATTTTTAGTCCCTTTTTGTATATTGCATATGCAGAGGAAGATTACAGGAAGTTTTACTTAGAAAAAAAAGAGGGGGGCAGAAAAATTGTGGCTTTTTTTTTTAATTGAAATAATTTTGAGTTTTAAAAAGATGACTTTACCTAAAACCAAATTCTTCCCCAAAAGATTAAATGCTTTCTCTGCAAATTACCAGGATACTACCTTAACTTTTTGGTGAGGTTTATAATGTTCTAGCTTTTGAGTTATTGTACAGTTTGTAGCTCTGACACAGTCAACAGCAAACCCTTTAAAACACTGAATTGAGATGACTGTTCTGTTTTCCACCAGTCCTGCTAGAGAATGCAGTTAAAGTTAGTCTAATTTGCTAAGTGAGGGAGCAATAGAAAGACTTTTTGAGGAGATGTATCTACTAATGTAATCAACCTGGTATTGAGCATTGTAATGGCGCTTGCCTCCTTTTTGTATGAAGATAAAACTTCTGGTCCTGTTGGTTTGTCTTGTTCTCTGCTAGTCTTAGGATGATGATCATGTATTTGAAACGACAGCCTGTGGTCAAGGGGGGGTTGTGGTCATGGGAACTGCCAAGTATCTCTGCCAAATCAGCTGATCTTGACCTCATTCGCTGGCACTGTGTTCAAACTTTGAGTTAAACTGGCTTAGACTTATTTTGGGGATTGGTATTAAGAAATAAGAGATACTCACCCCACCGGTATGGCTCAGTGGTTGAGCCTCAACCTATGAACCAACAGGTTTGAGTTCCCATCAGGGCACATGTCCTGGTTGCAGGCTCGATCCTCAGTAGGGGCTGTGCAGGAGGCAGCAATCAATGTTTCTATCTCTATCCCTCTCCCTTTCTCTCTCAAAAAAAAAATCAATAACATTTAAAAAGAAATAAGAGGTAATCATTCAGACCTCTGCTGGCCCATAGCTTCTCTCAAAACCAGTGGTCGGCAAACTGCGGCTCGCGAGACCACGTGCGGGCGCACACGTACAGTGTGATTGATCGTGGCCCATGCTCAGAA